TATTTTCCTTTGCTTTCTATGTGTTTTTAAACTATTCTCTGTAATCCTTCTACACTAAAAAGAAAATTCTTTCAGTTTTCAAAGAAAGTACAAGCAGACCATAAATACGTCTGGATCGGGACAGGCAGCGTGATTATATTTGTAGAAAATGGGTGGAGCCCTTTCATGTAGCTAGACATTGACGTTTTGAAGCTACATGCTGTGAGATAACTTTCACAAATATAGCAACAATTCAGAAAATGTGCAGCTACACTGGTAAATCATTATCCTGAGCTAATCCAGTACAAGTGTGTTCAGATTACCTCTCATCTGTGGTTTGTTTTTGTTTTTTTTTAAAGCATGGAGAAGATATGCAGTGCCTATAGAAGAAGGTAATTAAAGTTTGGTCTTTCGGGGTGCTGAATCATCTTCCCTGCTTTAATCTCCGTTCCTGGTAGTTCTCCTACTGCAGTGATGCTGGTGGGACCAGGGATGCTTCTGCCAACCCCCACTTTACAGGAGGAAGTGTAACACTCAGACCCCTTGTTCGTTTGGTGCATGCCCCAGTTTCAGGCAAATCTGGAGAGTCCTGGTCTTCAGTGAGCAGTGCTGGCCACGTTTTAGAGACATGGGGACTTCTTCAGCCTGTAGGTCTGCTGACAATCCTCTTCCCTCTCTGCTTGATGTCATCTCTCTGCTTCATTTTCTGTTCCTTGCACTAATATTGTTACCTTGTGCAGCTTCCCATGCCACAGTCTGCCAGCTATCGCTTGTGCCCTTTTTCTTCTTCCTTATGCAGCCCCAGTGAAGATCTCTCCTGGGGTGAGCTCTGCCCTGATGTGTTGACTCCATCTCTCCTGCAGTGAAGGTGGTTCTGGATCCAGACACAGCCCACTGTGACCTTGTCCTATCTGATGACTGCAAAAGTGTGAAACGAGAAGACACGCGGCAGGACATCCCCGACATCCCTGAGAGATTTAACCCATGGCGCTGCGTGCTGGGCTGTGAAGGCTTCACCTCAGGGAGATACTACTGGGAGGTGGAGGCGATGGATGGAGGAGGATGGACTGTGGGGGTCTCTAGAGAAGATGTGAAAAGGAAGGGCGAGATTGAGTTTAAACCAGAGGAGGGCATCTGGGCAGTGGGTCAGTGGGCAGGGCACTTCCAAGCTCTCACATCCCCTAATCGCACTCTCCTTCCTGAAATCCAGACTCCCAAGCGGATCCGGGTCTCTCTGGATTATGAAGAGGGACGGGTATCATTTTTCAGTGTTGATGAGGAGATTCCCATCTTCACATTTCCACTGGCATCATTTGAGGGGATAAGAGTCCACCCTTGGGTCTGGTTGGGTCCTGGGACGTGGCTCAAAATGTGGCCCTGATGAAGGGGAGGGAGTAAGAGAAGGTTTTTTTAGGGGACCTCAGGAGTTCAGACTCAGAACGATTTAGGTTGGAAGGAACTTGTGGAGGTTTCTGTTGCAACCACCTGTTCAGAGCAAGGCTAATCTCAAAGCTGCCTTAGGTGTCTTTGGACCTTGTTCAGCTGAATTGTGTAGGATCTCCAAGGGTGGAGATCTCTTTACTTCTCCGGACCTCTGTCCCGCTGCTGCACCTCTCTCAAGGGGAAGAATTAACCCTTTAAGTTTGGTCAAGTTTCCCCAGTTGCAACTTGTGACTGCTGCCTTTCATCCTTGCTCTCTACCTGTTGAACAACACTTCCACTGAAAAGACACTCCCGCAACAGGGATCGCTTTTTACATGTACAGAATAAAGTTACTTCAGTGGGATTTGTCAGTATGTGTGTCAGCACCAAATGTCTGTGTCTGAGGCATTGCCTCCACCTCCTTTTAGCCTGTGGGGTGTTGCAGGCACCTTTGAGAAAGTGGTTCACCACATCCTCCAGGAGATAAGGAAGGCATGTCAGTGGGATCGGTCCATGGCTGTGCTTGTCCCTGCGCCTGCCTGCAGCACAAGCCCAGGTGACGAGCTCACCTGTGACCTGGAGACATCTAACACCGCGAGATGGATCCCACCTTTGGTCGCTCATTCTGGGGGAGGAAAAGCTGCTTTTGCTTACAGTGCTGAGGAGCCTGGAGCAGGCTCAGAATGTCCCATGTGGGCTGAAATGAAGCTGGAGAAACCAAAAATTTGTATGAAGAAGGGCATCTCATATTGAGGCATGTTTTCAGGCAACTCCAGATTATTTTGCTGTAGTGGAAACTGCCACCTACAAGGGGAGGATAGAAGTATGTGCTTCCTCTGAGGCCAGACATGCATTTGCACCAGATCCTCCATTCAACTGATGTCCAGCAAGCATGGACCTTCCCAAGGGAAGGCTTCACCATTACTGCTGAATTCATGGGCTTCTCAGAAATGAAACAGGATCCACCTGCGTATGTGCCAGGGTAGGTCTGTTCATGCTCAGCCCAGGGCAGCTCCATCGTCCCACCATGGAGGAGTGTGAAGGAAACAGCTCAGAGATGCTATTAGGGCTTTCACCTTTCTCTCCAGGCCTGCCCAGACCCCAGGAGTAATATTCCCAGAGGTTGGTGGTCATGTCTCAGCTTTGTTCCTTGCCATGCACAAGCCCACACGATGCAGCAGATGCCAAGTCAGCTGTGAGGCCTGCAGTAGCTGAGGGGATTGTTGAAGGACCCAGTGACAGAGCGCTGCAAAGCCCCCTGTGAACAGTGTCACAAGTCTACAGGGACAGGCAGCATGAGGGTGGCCCCTGCTGCCAGGGCTCTGAAGAATGATTAGACATTCATGTCCCTAAAGAAGGCTGGCGGGAAGGTGAAGATGCAGACCCTGCTTTCTGAACTGGAAGAAGGACCACCATGCTCCTCAAGCCAGGGGCGATGCAGTTGCATGTTTCTATGACCCTCGGGCACCATCACCTCATGATCTCCTTTCTATTTCTCAGAGTCGCATATGGTGTTGGTGAGGTGCTACAGGAAGTAGGAAACAGCCTGGATCACCTTGTTCCCTCCAAACACCCACTTGAAACAGTCTGAGGGTGAAACCAAGATTGGGGCAACAACCTCATGGGAGATCCCCAGGGTGTGGGAACCAGCTCTAGAGCAGGGGAGGAAGCTGATGGGCTGGACAAAAAGGTGAACCTAGGACAGAAATGAAAGAGTGGACTGCAAATGTGAGCAAAAGCATCATTGCTAGCAGAATGGCTGACGTAACCCTCATCTCCCTCTTGCCTTCACCTGAGGGAAGCAGGTTCAGCAAGGAGACACCGTCCCTGCTCCTTTGTGCTCCCCACCTGGATGTCAGGATCCCAGGATCCATCCTGGCCTCCTCACTGCTCATAATCAGCCATAGGAAGAGTGTGCCTGCAGATGACTCCTAACCTGTGCACCCCTTTCCTCCGGTACAGCATGCCCCTTCCCCTTCAGCAAGGCTTGTCACAGTGGACTGCTTAGGTCTTCTGCTCCTTATCCTTCAGGGAGTGAAGCAGGTGGGGTGAAGGGCCTTTTGAAGGTTTAAGTGTCCTAGTGCATTCATCCACCTGGGAAACGGAGACAGAGAGGCAGAAGCAATGATATGGGCTGTGGGTTGGGAACGTGGGGCCATGACATGGAAGACCGACTGGTGGTGTCATGGGGGATGCTATAGGTCCAGGGTAAGGGTAAGAGTATTGCTGTGGAGGAGGGAAAACCATGTGCAGGCTTAATCCCTGGGATCCTATGAGAAGGCCAGGGTTACACGTGCTCTCTCCCTTCCTATCCCCTGCTTTCTGTTGGAAATCGCTGATGCAGAGCCAAAAAACAGCCCCCAAGTTCTGCCTCTGCTGCCGCCTCCAGCCCTCTTACTAAAAGCTGAACTAAAATGCCCCTGCAGCAAGTGGGCGGGGGGTAAGAGAGAGGCTGGGAGATGACGCAGGAGGGACAGCTGACCCCAATGGACCAGAGGGATATTCCATGCCATGTAGTGTCATGCTCAGCAATAAAACGGGGGCGGGGGAGGGCATGGGGCAGAGTTCCAAGGTACCATTGCTTGAGGACCGATTGGACATCAATCTGGTGGGAGGTGGTGAGTGAATGCTTTTGCATCATTTTTTTCTCTCTCTCTTTCCTTCACTTATTAAACTGTCTTTATCTTGACCTACAAATTTTTTTTTTTTTCTCACTTTTGCTTTTCTGGTTCTCTCCCCCATCTCACTATAGAGGCAGTGGGCAAGCGGCTGGGGGGGGCTTAGCTGCTGGCAGGGGTTGACCCACCACAATCCACAGAATGGAAAACCAGTAGAAAACCAATATGTCCCCTCCTCTGTAGCAGCTCCCCTTGCAGCTTTTGGGTGACCCTCCAGCCCCACAGTCCAAGATGCTCTGCAGTGGCCTATGGGCCAGGGAAGTGGCAACAGCTCGGCTGCAGAAACAGACAGCAGGAGGAATTGCAAAACCGAGCTCCTTCCTCTGCCTCTAATCTCCTTGCCTGGTCTGTGCTGCAGCTTCTCCCACAAATGTTAAAGCTGCCTCTCAGCTCTCCAGAAGAGCCATCCCCATTTTTCCTGGCAAGCCAGAAAGAAAGGATCCATCGTTTACACCACAAACAACTAGCTGAGGTAATGTGCAGAAACCGTTTCTCACTGGTATGCCAACTAGGCTGCAGTTCCCAGGTTGAGGTGCCTCACGGATAGAAACCCAGAGCATGCTGAGAAAGAGCTGCCTTGAAGCAGAGGAAGGGGCAGACATTTGTGCAAAGGACCTGTTTCCTGGGATGTAAAAAGGTGTGGCCTGGGGGGCAGGGGGGCATGCAAGGGCTCCTCCCGGGTGCAGCCCTCCCTCCTTTACTGTGAAGTAAGAAATTATGGAGCCAGTCTCTGGTTGAGACTTTTCCAAGGAGACAGTGGTGTGGCAGCGCAGTTAAAGTGAGGGCTGTGCTGAAGGACAGGAGATGATGGGTTTGGCTGCTCAGGAAGCCGCAGCTCCCTTCCCACAGCTGTGCGTGCTGATAGAGGGCCTGGGCAGCCCGGCCGCTAGCACTGCCGCCAGAGCAGTGCCCAGTCCTCGGGCAAGAGGGAGGCAAAGCTGCAGGAGAGCAAACGCTGGAGGGTCCATGGTGAGTCCCAGGGAAGCAGTGTCCATCGGGGCTGGGCACTTGGGGTAGCCATGTGTGTGTGCATGGGAAGCTCTTTTCACATGATTCATGCTCCTACCTTGTGAACCCAAATCAAGTAGAGGGCTCAGCTGGCGTTGGGTAAGAGCATAATCAGGGAGCCTCTTCCAGCGCACAGCTTTTCTGGGCTGGGGTGAGTGTGGGTATGCAGGGACATGAACACCATGGAGCCACTGCTTTTGCAGTGGTGAGGGCAGCAATGCTACCCCGGCGGAGGAGGCACCGCTGTGAGGAGGCGTGTGAATCAGGTTCTGCCTCCCACGGAGGAGAATGAGGTGAGCAAAAGGGCAGAGATGGTGTCTCCTTGCTGAGCCTGCTGCCCTTCAAGGACAAGATGACAGGGTGGGTGCTGGCAATAGGTGTGGAACTCATCTCTCCCTTCCATCCCCCCAGGGAGGAGCTGCGAGGGCTCACAGAGGGTCTGGTGGGGGATGCCAGCTCTGTTGCGAACGGTGCTGGCGCAGAAAGAAAGGCAATGTGTAGGTGTGTGCCTGCCTGTGCCCACACCTCTCGGCTCTTCCCTCCAGGCCATGCGGATCCTTGCCCTGCTCCTGCTCATCCTCCCGGCCCTGCTGCCCACAGCTGGACATACCGACCCAGGCCAGCCCTGCCCGTCGGAGATGAACAAGGTCAAGGACCTCCTGGAGGTGAACTGCACGGGGCAGGGTCTCAGCGCGGTGCCCCCAGACCTGCCTGCAGACACGGGCATCCTGCTGCTCAGTGTCAACCGCCTGGCGTCCCTCTCCACTGCTGCCTTCCTGCCCCTCACCCAGCTGCAGGACCTCGACCTGGCTGACAACGGGCTGGCAGCTCTGCATACCGGGCTCCCACTGCCGTCCCTGAGGGAGCTGATCCTCTCCCGCAACGTGCTGGGAGCCCTGCCTGCCCTGCAGGGCCTGCCTGCGCTCACCCACCTGGCCGTGGCCCACAACAGCCTGGCAACGCTGGCCCCAGGGGCTTTCCGCGCTGTGACACAGCTGCAGGACCTGGACCTGCGAGGGAACCGTCTGCAGACGCTGCCCCAGGAGGCCTTTGCGGGGCTGAGGGCACTCAAGTACTTGGACCTCTCGGACAACCTCCTGGAGGAGCTCCCCGAGGAGCTGCTGCAGGATCTGCAAAATCTGGAGACCCTCTGGCTCTCAGGGAACCGCCTGCGGACCCTGCCCACCAACTTTTTCCCTGAGGGGCACCTCTTCGCATACGTCTTCCTCACTGAGAACCCCTGGCATTGTGACTGCAACCTGCGCTACCTGCGGGCCTGGATCTGGCAGAACGATGGCAGTGTTTATCAGCCAGAGCGAGGCCTGGAGAAGACAAAGGTGGAGGTCGCCCCTGAGAAGGTGCTGTGCCACAGTCCCCCTGAGCATTGGCAGAAGCCCATCATCCACTTCAAGCCCAACTGCGGCAACGTGGGGGATGCGGAAGAGGAGGAAGAGGATGAATACTATGATAAGGAAGAAATGATGGAGAAAGTTACCATGATCACCTTCTCCCCCCCACATACATACATCCCCAAAGAGCACACCATGCCCCATGCTGTTACCTGGCCTCCCTTTGCTACCACAAGACCTCCCCTCAGCACCCCTTGTAGCTCCACCCTTGCCCCAAGCACTTTGCCTGCGATGCCTGCAAGCACCAGAGCTCCCAGCACCACCACTCCTGCCCCAGCCAGTCC